TTTTTTTCAAATCAAAATAGTGCAAAAGCACATGTCGAAAAAACACTTTATCGCGTTCCATTTTTCACAAAGCAAAAGAAATTGTTGTTTAGGAAAATAATTGTGTATGCTGACTGAATGTTATCGAGAAATGTCGAAATTAATCACAAACTACCTGTTTCGTTAGTAATGACTACTAGAACTGTTTGCATTGCCATCTAACATTTGCGGGCGGAAACTAAGTTAAGGTCCTAATAGTTCGAGAGAAATTATAAAAAATTTGTTGTAATTTTTATTACAATACTTTCTCCACGTTTTTTTGAGTTAATTTTATAATTGGTTCATTAAACTACATTTTTAACTTACACAAACAAGAGATTAAAATAACTATGTTAATTTAAAATAAAATAAATATGTAAATTTTGCTGCAAGAATTAGTCCATATCATTCGCTATATTGTAAACAAAACGATTATCTATCATTTTTGAGCTGAATTATGAATTCTCTGTTTTGTACAGTGAGAAAATTCATTTTTTAACGGAAGAATATTTCCATTGGACAGTCGGTTGATTAAAAATAGCAACACTTTTCCTCGATGAATTTCGTAACGCGAAACTTTCTGTGTCGAATAAGCGAATTTGTTTTTTAGTGATTCTCTTATGAGATACGTTGAATGCAGAATACGTTGCAAAATTTATCGAGGAAAAGCATCGAGGTTGTTGCACTTAATCAGCCGGCTGGACGAATAAGTTTACAAACTTAGCCCAAAAATCACGATATTTTGTCCGCGGCTGTACCACACAGAGATTGCGTTTAAGTCGATTTATCTTGACTGACCTTCTTTATAGTGTATAATTATTTTTCTATAGGAAGTATTTTCTCGATCTCATTAATGGAGTTTGTGAAGTCTCATGCAAAAATGATGGGTGAACTTTGCAATATATAATTTCTCCCTGGAACAAAGGTCCAATCTCGAGAAGACGGTGCTCGCGTCTCCTCAATGTCACCTTCGATTTCGAGCTAAAGACGCCGCGAAACGATATCGTCTTCGTAACATAACGAGATAGAAAGGTCGCGAGGAGAATATATTACGTAATTAATCATCGCGACGATCCTCGCTGTCTTCGCTATAAATCACTTGGCGGTGCGACGAATCCGCGTGCACGCACGTATGCACGCATGGCACGCACGCACGCATAGCTCAGATCGCGATGATTGTTGAAACGGGGATTCGCGAAAAACAAATAATCCGGTCCCGGGTTAACGAGATCTGGATCCTGTCCCGCGGTTTTCTTGCGTAACCGGTGCTAGTTCTCATCACCGTCCCCGGTTGAGCTCTTCTCGTCGTCGTTCTCGTCGTCGTCGTCCACCTCCTCGCCTTCGTCTTCTTCTGCTTCTTCGGCCGGTCCCGATCGGTTCCACTGCCAGCTGCACGTCCCCGCTTCGTCGCGGGAGATTCACTTTCAGGGACGGCTGACTCATACAGCTTCTTTGACCATCTTTAAGCCGCATTCACCTCGCACGAGTTACAAATTACCAGGCCCGTCGACGAAAAACTCACATTTAACGAACGCCTGTCAGCGGGATTTCCAGTAGACAATGGCGGCCTGGTGGTTTTGAAAATCGTATGGATGTGTCGCAAAAGCCGGCCCGCGGCACAAAATGCGCTCATAATACGGGACTGCATTATCTTCCGACGTAAACGGTTTATGTGTTCTTAAAGCTAGAATCACACGATTTCATGTCTTCTCACACGCATGCTGGTCGGTAGCTCAGTCCACTGCACGAATCGCTATCATGTATTGGAAGGTCTTATGTAGTGAACTGTGCCGGTCAGCTTGCATATCGGAGGACATCAAATCGTGTATTGTGTGGTTCTAGTTTTTATACAACACGTTTCGCAAATATTTGCTCGCTGTTGCTGTCGATATCGGCATTGGTACCTCGATGGCGGTTTGATCCTGATTTACTGTGGAATTTCGCGACAATGATATTTGCTCACGGACAACAATTCGTTTACCCCGATTAGATCTAATGGAGAAAGTCTAAAAAATGCCGTTCTAAGCTTCTCTAACTAGACAAATATTTATATAAAGACTGTATCAGACTAGTGAAAATTGAAACTTATCCAATCGGGATCACATGAGCCAAAATTAAAATTACTTGTTTTATCAAAATTTGATTTCTAATTTGCAATCCTTAATCTTCAATACTAATCTAATATTAACTTTGCGTGGTAATTTCTCTAGATAGATCAGAATAGACATTTTTTTTTAATTTACTGCCTTATATCTAGTGAGGTATAAATTATTATTGTGTCCGTATGTAAGAGTAGATATATTATAAAACTATTTAGAAATATAGATTGCCAATAGTTAATTTCAGATTGATAGCTAGAGTGTATCGCGCCGCCACTGATTAAATAAAAAATGAGAGAAGTAAAGTCAAGTGTCGAATATGTTTTTTATGTAATAGTATTCTTATTGCTAATAATATATATTAATTATATTAATATATATTAATATGTAATAATATATATTAATAATATATATTAATAATTATATATTGCTAATAATATATATTCAAATATAGAATTGAAATAGTTTTAGAAAATGGTGGTATATTGCTTTGTGGAAAGCTACAAATCAACGAGCTAAAGCAAAAGAAGGAAAAAATGATTTTGTCTTGTTATGATTAAATCAATCTAACTTTAAACATCGCACATGCGCGCGTGCGTGTACGCATATACACACACATGTAACCACGATGATACTCAATGTATATTAATGATATACTATTTTTATATACTATTATGCTATATATACTATTTGTATATATTATTATATTCATATTATTTATATATACGAGACGAAATACATTAATTCGTATTATTTTGTGCTTATATATAAAAACTAAAATTTTTATTTATATAACATATTATATATGTATATATTTTTTGAATAGAGGAAATATATATAGGGTGTTTTAAAAGTGAAGTTCTATCGCTCGGGAGATGATTGGGGACTCAAAAACAAGAAAGAAGTTGGCATAAAAATAGGTCCGAAAATGCGTTGTTTTCGAGTCATCGTCATTTTTATGTAAAATTTCAAATTATTTTGCTTTCAAATTTTTTTCAAAATTAAAAGAAGAAATGATTAAAAAAAAGAGAAATGATTTTTATGAGTTTTATAAGATAATTAAAGTCAAATAATAGTTACGGGTTACTTTAACACTACCCAGGATGCACCACATGGAAGTACAGCCCGCTTGTGATCAAACAAAGGGTTGCTAAGCGGACTGTACCTCCAGGTGGTGCATTTTAGATAGTGCTAAAGTAAGTAATCAGTAATTTTTTTATTTGACTTTAATTATATTATAACATTCATAAAAATCATTTCTCTTTTCAATTTTGGAAAAAAGTGGAAGCAAAATAATTTCAAATTTTAAAATAAAAATGACGATAACTCGGAAATGTTCGGACCTACGTTTATACCAAC